GACACTCACCCACGGCAGTGCAGTCAGCACTCGAACTTACGAGAAGGAGGCGTGAGCCGGCCCGCTCTCCACCAACTCCTCTGCCAGTCGGCAACCACTGGACTCAGCACCGGATTGCCTCATTTTTTCCCGCTGACATTTTGTATAAATCAACTTTGGTTGGGGAGGTCTTCTGGGATCAGGTGGTACCAGCCTGGTTCTGATTCCCATTGCGTATACTTGTTTTTTTAACTGTATGTAAAGGGTGCTCTGAGGCCAATAAAGCAAAGCCCAAGGCCACCCAATTGCCTTTTCGCCTTTGATGACATGACTCTGCAAGTCTGCTTGCCTTGTGCAGCAGACTGTGGACAGAAATGACTGCCTGAAGGTCAAAGAGAATAAGCAGCAGTGGATGAGAGACTGGAATTGACAGTCTCGGCAGGGCTAGTGGTGGTCAGGGAGCACCTTAGCTATTTAGTAAGAAAACATCTGTGTCTACACTTTGCCTTTACACAGCCCCTTCCCCATGGTCAAAGGAGCGAGTCCAACTTGAAAATTTCAGTGGTGGGGTGTCTTCTTGGGGCATTTCTCCCCTGCTAAACGCTCTTGGATTTGGAAAGTCCTTCTTCCCTGAAATGCTTGTTGTCTCCCTTTCTAGAACTCAGGCTCAGGACACAGTACCAAGACTTGTGCCACAGAGGTAGAAGAAAGCGACCCTGTGCCATCTGACTGCTGAGCTCTGGCCTGTGCCCCGGGCCAGCACTCACAGTTATAAATTCTCACTGGCTATCTAATCTACTCTGGGGGGAAGGGACCATGGGCTCATTAGAAACGAGGGCTTAGAAGTGACCTCCCAAGAAGGCTGTGACCTACTGGTGCCCCTGGCTCTTTACTTGAGTTGGGCTTCTCCCTAACATATAAGGTAACATATTAATTGTCGCTAATGTAGGTTCAGTGACTTTATGTTTGCTTTTTGGAAGTAAATGATGAGGCTTTACATACTTTAAGCATGTTGCTGGGAGGGGCACTTCCTTGGAGAAGGACATGATACTGGGAAGAACGGAGGGTCAGCGAAGGAAAGGAAGACCCTCAAACAGGTGGACTGACATGGTGACTGCTGTGATAGGCTCCGTGTGTCAGGAAGTGTGAGGACGGGGCAGGAGAGAACAGGGTTCAGATATTTTGTTCAAAGGGTTGCTATGAGTCTTACTTGACAGCACCTAACAACAAGAGGAATTAAAGGGGTAAGAACTTTTAGTAACTTAAAACCAAACACATTTCAATCAAATGCCGGGAATTTAAAGAGAATCCTGAAGTGGAACTGACTGACTTGCACAGCAGTAAATACAAACGAGAGCAATGGTCTTGGCTTGGGTTGTGTGGTTCAGTGAGCTGGCAGAATGTCACACACAAATTCCGTCACTGCAAACAGTCACTTTTTGGCAGTGGCCATTGGCTGTCCCTTGGAGCAGAGCAGAACTGTGTTAGGGAGAATGGGAAAAGTGAGTACCACTCCTCACCATGCTCTCCCTCCCCACGCTGCTATGCTGGATGCAGCCAACCAGCTCAGACAGACGGGCAAGGAGGGGCCCACTGCGTGTTTCTTCTCGGGCAGATTCATCTCCACAGTGGGACTGCTGGCTTTAGCCTGGGCTCCTGAACAGGAAATCAACACTGGCTGTGGCAGCTGGAGAGGGCAATGATATCTCCTGCTGAATGATAATGGGTGAGCGCATGGATGAGCTGCAGGTGTCACTTGCAAAGGAACTGGGAGCGGTGGGGATTCCACTTGTTCCAGCAGCTGCTTTCACATCTAACTCCCGACCCTGCCTGCTGCACGCGGGGATGCCATCTTCCGTGGGAGAGAAGTAACTGGGGTGGGAGGCCTTACTCTCACTACTGAGTCTTTTCAGGACCCAGGACTTTAAGGGCAGAGCTCCTGGTTCCTTCTCTCAGCAACCCTTCTGTTCACACTCTCAATCTTTGTGCTTCTTCTTGTGCTTCTTCTTCTTTTTCTTCTTCTTTGCGGTCTTGCTGTCTTTCGGTGTATGCTTCGCTTTCTTGCCTGTATCACTCTCCGAGTCTGAACTGTCAGAGTCAGACGACTTCTTGTCTCTGTGTTTCTTTTTCTTCTTTTCCTGAAAAGGAAATTTGAAAACTAAACATAGATATGTATATCTGCTTTAAAAGGGGGTGGAAATATGGCTTGTATTGAATATGGGAGTACTTAAAGTAAATGAGAAGGCATTTTTATTATGGAATAGAGCATAATTATTAGAAAGAATTAAGTTCTACAAGGAAAAATGGACAAAATGAGTCATGTGAAAGAATCAGGCCAGAGTGCAGTACATAGTATAGATTCCTGTATGTTGAAAGAGAGAGAGAAAGAGAGTGGTCAGAAAGACAAATAAGAGACCCTCAACAAGATAAGAAACACAATCGTTGCCACAACAGACTTCAAACACACTAACAACCGTGAAGATGGCCTATGACAAGCAGTGTTTCATCCTGCTGTACATAAGGAGGCCATAAGCTAAAGCTGGCTCAATGGGGAGCAACAACATACATAAATACAAATGTGCACACATATAACGTGGTGTCTATATTTCTACACGTCTGCGTATATTTAATACACACACATACCCAAATAACACTGGAAAGGGCACAAAACCAACTAGCAACAAGTATGGCTTCTGGAGAATGGATGAAATAGATTTTTCTCTTTTACTTTATAATGCCCACTTTGATTTTAAAGAGAAGAAACCTCAGTCCCCCCAAAACCCCTCAGAACCAATCAAACAAAAACATCATAGTTCTATTAAATTTCCTTTTTAAAACCACAAAATACAAAAGTGCAAAGTAGCCCTTAGAGATCACCTAGTCTGTGTGGAGACAGCGCTCACTTGCCTAACGTCACAAAATAAGAGTGATACAGGACTCCTGACATATAGCCCAGTTATGAAGGTGCTACTGCCAGGGAAAACAATTCCATCATTAATGAGCTTCTACCTGCTAACTTTAAACATAGCAGCATCCACTTTCTAAACAACAAGCCTCTGGAAACTCTATGAACTTTGATAAATGTCGATAGTTATAGAAAGGCTTCAGGCCTTTTGTTCAAAGGGTCACTGTGAGTCATGCTCGACTCGATGGCAATCAACAACCACCACCACCACATTTACAACAACTTCACAAGGTTATACAGAGGAATACAACACATTAGAAAGAACACTCCCAAAACTAAGTGTTGGTGGGCAACTGGCCTTTGTACTGTAGCATCAAGACCTCAAGCGGGGACTTTAAATCACATCATGCTGCTGGAATGGCAGTATGTGCCCGTATAAAGTAGGGGAGGTAGGCTTCTATGGAGTGTCAAGGCAATTCTCCTTTAATGTATAAGTCTCTAGTAATTTCAAATTTCTGTATTCACTCATTTAAGGTACAGGACACAAAAGTGAGCTGAAGGGAGTGAAGCTGGACTTGCTACCAGGATTCAGCCCAAGTGGTCCTTGGAGGCAGAGATGGCAAAACTTCATCTCACATACTTGAGGCATGTCTTTAAGGGAGGCTATTCTTTAGAAAGGGACACCATGCTTGAAAAGGTGTCAAAAGAGAGGAAGACACATAACCAGATGGATTGGCACAGGGACTGCAGCAATGGTCTCAAGTGTGTCAGAAATGATGAGGGTGGCACAGGATAGAACAGGGCCAGGTCTGTTGTGCACAGGGCCGCTGTGAGTCATACTCGATGGTACCAACAACCACCAGCAGCATCGAGACAGCTTCAGCTTGCCTGAGTGAGACAGAAGTCGTAGGACCTGACTCTGAGAAACTGAGAAAAGAGCAGAATCAGGTGTCAGACCTAAATTTGAGTTTTGCCTCTTCTACTTACTGTTCTGTCACTCTGAAAAGTCCTTTCACCTCACTGAAACCTAGTCTCCTCAAATACAAAATAAGAATAACTACATGGTCATGGTGACGGTTAAAATGAGACACTAGACATTGCATTAAGTGAAATGCTGATACCTGTTATTGCTTACCTAAATTACTGGCCTGCGTCCCAGAGATCACAGTAAGGAACCCCAAAACGGTGAATTTCTGTAGATTGTCAGGGGCCCTAACATATTCAGTGTTCTCAGTGTTCTGCCACTGAAATGCCTTTACCACAGCAAAGCAGAAATAATCCACCCTCCTCTGACAGATGACCACACTGTGCTTGGAGAAGTTGGGCACCAGATCACAATGGCAGAGTTAAGAATGTGACTGTAAGCAAAGTGACCAGAAATCTCCCAGGTCTTCCCTCTGTAGCACCCAGGAGGCCTCACAGTATAGCGATCAGAAACAACTTTGGAATAAGACAGAGTGCATTCCAATTCCATACTACGGCTTACTAGCTAAAAGAGTTGAAACAAATCATGTAATTCTTTTCAACATCAGTTTTCTTTTGTATAAAATGGGAAGGACACATATTCATTTCAAAGGAAGCTGATTAAACAAGACATGATGAACCTGATATATGATACCTCAGTATCTGCATATGGTACAGGCACTCAGTGATAGCTAGAGAAAGCTGAATTCAGAGAAATCTAGAATTTCTAGATGTCTGAGGAACTAGCCAACTATGTACATTACAGGAGTCAAGGTTTTAAGAGGAGATTAAACCAGATTATTTCTTAAGAGTCTAATGGAGTATAAAAATTGGGAAAAGGCCTTCAGACCCCTATTAGCATATGCAGAAACCATCTATATCATGAAAATAATATGGAAATGTCATAGAGATACTGAGAGCTGGCAAACCAATAATTCAGTGTATGATATTCCACCTTCCTGTATGGTAAGACCATGGAAACCCACCGCAGGACAGATGGGCTCAGGGAATTGCACAGGCTTCTGCCTTTTAGCCTGGGTAGAGTACAAGGGAAGTAAATAAGCAAATGTAGGGGTTGGTACCAATTTCCTCTAGGCCTGACCTCGCCTAGATGAACAAATACAGAATGAGGGTAATAACACTTCTATACATCCAGAGAGTGCCTGGAATTTTATAATGCTTTCTGCATCCCTTATCTAGTTACTATAATAATAATCACTGGAGAATTCTATCCACTGGCAGATGGTCTCTAGGTTACAAGGAGGACTGCAGGGATATGGTCTCCTAGAAATCAAGCTCGATGTAAAAGCTTGAACAAATAAACACAATTCTCCAGCAGGTGGCATCATTTTCAATTTATATTGAGACTTTAGCGGGTGAACAAAGACCAGTCACTTCACAAGTTGTAGTTCAAGAAAGTTGAGGTTAGCTTTCGGGCGGTGCCTCTGCACTCGGTTGAGGGTTGAGTTCACGTTGCTGATACTTGGATACTTCAGGAGTGAACTGCATGGAAAGAACTTGCCTTGAATATTTTTGGTTCTGTGGTGAACTCAAGTTGCTGGTGAACTACAGAGCTGCTGCTTGGAAGACATTCTTTCTCAAGTAAAGCTATATAGAAGAATTTTTTGGAGCACCACAACAAGATAAAGGTAAATAATCCAATAGAAAAATGGGCACAGGATATGAACAGGCACTTCACCGAAGACGACATTCAGATGG